GTGCAGTGTATGGAGTGTGGGGGGAGGGGTCAGAGAATGTCATGTATAGCGCAGTGTATGGAGTGTGGGGGGAGGGGTCAGAGAATGTCATGTATAGCGCAGTGTATGGAGAGCGGGGGGAGGGGTCAGGGTTTGTCATGTATAGCGCAGTGTATGGAGAGCGGGGGGAGGGGTCAGGGTTTGTCATGTATAGCGCAGTGTATGGAGAGCGGGGGGAGGGGTCAGGGTTTGTCATGTATAGCGCAGTGTATGGAGAGCGGGGGGAGGGGTCAGGGTTTGTCATGTATAGCGCAGTGTATGGAGAGCGGGGGGAGGGGTCAGGGTTTGTCATGTATAGCGCAGTGTATGGAGAGCGGGGGGAGGGGTCAGGGTTTGTCATGTATAGCGCAGTGTATGGAGAGCGGGGGGAGGGGTCAGGGTTTGTCATGTATAGCGCAGTGTATGGAGAGCGGGGGGAGGGGTCAGGGTTTGTCATGTATAGCGCAGTGTATGGAGAGCGGGGGGAGGGGTCAGGGTTTGTCATGTATAGCGCAGTGTATGGAGAGCGGGGGGAGGGGTCAGGGTTTGTCATGTATAGCGCAGTGTATGGAGAGCGGGGGGAGGGGTCAGGGTTTGTCATGTATAGCGCAGTGTATGGAGAGCGGGGGGAGGGGTCAGGGTTTGTCATGTATAGCGCAGTGTATGGAGAGCGGGGGGAGGGGTCAGGGTTTGTCATGTATAGCGCAGTGTATGGAGAGCGGGGGGAGGGGTCAGGGTTTGTCATGTATAGCGCAGTGTATGGAGAGCGGGGGGAGGGGTCAGGGTTTGTCATGTATAGCGCAGTGTATGGAGAGCGGGGGGAGGGGTCAGGGTTTGTCATGTATAGCGCAGTGTATGGAGAGCGGGGGGAGGGGTCAGGGTTTGTCATGTATAGCGCAGTGTATGGAGAGCGGGGGGAGGGGTCAGGGTTTGTCATGTATAGCGCAGTGTATGGAGAGCGGGGGGAGGGGTCAGGGTTTGTCATGTATAGCGCAGTGTATGGAGAGCGGGGGGAGGGGTCAGGGTTTGTCATGTATAGCGCAGTGTATGGAGAGCGGGGGGAGGGGTCAGGGTTTGTCATGTATAGCGCAGTGTATGGAGAGCGGGGGGAGGGGTCAGGGTTTGTCATGTATAGCGCAGTGTATGGAGAGCGGGGGGAGGGGTCAGGGTTTGTCATGTATAGCGCAGTGTATGGAGAGCGGGGGGAGGGGTCAGGGTTTGTCATGTATAGCGCAGTGTATGGAGAGCGGGGGGAGGGGTCAGGGTTTGTCATGTATAGCGCAGTGTATGGAGAGCGGGGGGAGGGGTCAGGGTTTGTCATGTATAGCGCAGTGTATGGAGAGCGGGGGGAGGGGTCAGGGTTTGTCATGTATAGCGCAGTGTATGGAGAGCGGGGGGAGGGGTCAGGGTTTGTCATGTATAGCGCAGTGTATGGAGAGCGGGGGGAGGGGTCAGGGTTTGTCATGTATAGGGCATTGTATGGCGGTGGGGGGGGGGTTCGGAGTATGTCACGTATAGCGCAGTGTTATGTATCGTGCTGATGATGATTCTCTTGTGTTCTGACCCGTTTCCTCAGCTGGCCTTCGGTGTTGCGTTGTTGAATATTCAGATTCCGCTCATCCTGGGAGAGTTGGTGAATGTTGTGTCCCGCTACACGCGGCAGTATGCCGGGAACTACCTGCAGGAGGTGCGGGGCCCCGCCATCAGACTGCTGTCACTGTACGCGGCTCAGGTGAGTGTACGTCGGAGCCGCCATGGTGCAGCGTCTTGTGTGTGATGGCCGCCATCATGTCACTGACGTCCTGTCTCTGCCCCCCTTCAGGGTGTTCTGACCAGCGCTTACATCGTCCTGCTGTCGCTGGTCGGGGAGCGAGTGGCCGGCGGCATGAGAAAAGCTTTATTCACATCTCTGCTGAGGTGAGTGTTCCGGAGCCATGAGAAACCCTCCGACATCCGCAGAGATCTCATACATTCCCCCTGTGACAGGCAGGACATGGCGTTCTTCGATGTGCAGAAGACCGGACTGCTGGTGAACCGCCTCACATCCGATGTCCAGGAGTTCAAATCCGCCTTCAAGCAAGTCATTTCCCAGGTGAGCGCGCCGAGAGGTACCAACCCGATACATACAACACGGTAACATGAACTTCATCAGAGTCCTCCCGATCACAGAGATACAAAGTAACATTGTATATAAACATTGATCAGAGGGGGAGATAGAGAGATACAAAGTAACATTGTATATAAACATTGATCAGAGGGAGATAGAGATACAAAGTAACATTGTTTATAAACATTGATCAGAGGGAGATAGAGAGATACAAAGTAACATTGTATATAAACATTGATCAGAGGGAGATAGAGAGATACAAAGTAACATTGTTTATAAACATTGATCAGAGGGAGATAGAGAGATGCAAAGTAACATTGTATATAAACATTGATCAGAGGGAGATAGAGATACAAAGTAACATTATATATAAACATTGATCAGAGGGAGATAGAGAGATACAAAGTAACATTATATATAAACATTGATCAGAGAGGGAGATAGAGATACAAAGTAACATTGTATATAAACATTGATCAGAGAGGGAGATAGAGATACAAAGTAACATTGTATATAAACATTGATCAGAGGGAGGTCACCGAAACTAGCGCTTTCGGGGCCACGCAGGGTCCTCTTCGCAGGCTCTGCGATGACAACGTCATTGATTTCACTACAAGCACACCCCCCCCCCCCCCCATTCAACTTTGGGTTTTTCCGGTATGGAGTGCGACAAGGTAACTTTTTGTTTGCCTGTGAGCTCCATGACACGGAAGGGGGACCTTGTGAGCTCCATGACACGGAAGGGGGACCCTGTGAGCTCCATGACACGGAAGGGGGACCCTGTGAGCTCCATGACACGGAAGGGGGACCCTGTGAGCTCCATGACACGGAAGGGGGGCCCTGTGAGCTCCATGCCACATGTGAGCCGTCATGTGATTCCTCCGCAGGGTCTCAGGAACAGCACACAGACGTTGGGTTGCTTCGTGTCCCTCTATTACATCTCTCCGAAGCTGACAGGCCTGCTGGTGGTGGTGATGCCGGTGTTGGTGGGGGCGGGGGCCGTCATTGGCTCCTTCCTGCGCAGATTGTCCCGCCGCGCCCAGGAACAGGTAAGATCTCCCCCCCGCACTCCTCCAGGTGGGGGCGCCGTACTGGGGGGCCCCTGAGGTCCTCTCTGTCCCGCCGGTCATGTGACCTCTTTGCTTCATTTAGATCGCCAAAGCCACTGGAGTTGCAGACGAGGCGCTGGGCAACGTGCGGACCGTCAGAGCGTTCGCCATGGAGGATAGAGAGGTGGGGTGAGTGTCGCCGCCCCCCCCCGAGCTCCCCATTGCTCCAATCACATTCCATCTCTCTTCTCACAGATTGGAGAATGTCTCTGTGAAAGGGTTAGCCTGGCCCCGCCCCCTTTCATTCATTGGACTTCAGTTCTGTCAATCATGGAGTCTCAGCATCACATGTGGGCGTTACCTAGGCGTGGTCTGCATGCAAATGCACTAGGAACGCCCACTCCTCCAGACTGACACCCGCCAATCAAGGCATTGTGATATATGCATGACTCCTCCCAAGATCCCACCCACTGCCTGAATAAGGAATGAGGGCTCTTGAGAGGAGTACTGAGGCAGGGTGCTGTGGTGTTTTCAGGAAGTTATGTACACCGCCGTCCCGGGACCGCCCCCCATGTAGATTGGGGGGGACGTTCTCCTTATGAGAATGCAGAACTCGTGTACACAGACCCTCGTGTTGTATGTTCTGTAGGTCTGCGCACTCCCGTTGTCTCCGGGGTGTAATGTGAAATCTGGTCCGCAGGTTGTACTCCGTGGAAGTGGACCGGTCCGGCCAGATGAACGAGGTTCTGGGGATTGGGATAGCGCTCTTCCAGGGACTCTCCAACATCGCTCTCAACTGTAAATAATAGTCCCGTGCACTCTGTGTGCTCTGCGTGCTCTGCCGTGTATCCCCCGTGTCTGGCTGTGTGTGCTCTGCCGTGTATCCCCCGTGTCTGGCTGTGTGTGCTCTGCCGTGTATCCCCCGTGTCTGGCTGTGTGTGCTCTGCCGTGTATCCCCCGTGTCTGGTTGCGGGTTGGGTGTCTGGCCTCCCCTCCTGTGATTGGTTCCTCCCGGTTCTCTCCGCAGGTATTGTCCTGGGAACCATCTTTGTGGGCGGGTCTCTGATGGCCGGGGATGAACTGTCAGCCGGTGACCTCATGTCTTTCCTGGTGGCCTCTCAGACGGTGCAGAGGTCAGTTCACATGCCGAGCTGAGTCAGCTTCTAGAATATTCCTCCCCTGACTCCGTCTTTCCTCTCCCTCAGGTCCATGGCCAACATGTCGGTTCTGTTCGGTCAGGTGAGTCACATGATCAACCCAAATAAATCCTGACTCCGCCCCCATTCATCTGACGGAGGTCTCTCCCGTGTGTTAGGTGGTCCGCGGCCTCAGCGCAGGGGGGCGTGTCTTCGAGTTCATGTGTCTGGAGGCGGAGATTCCCCTCACTGGAGGCTCAAAACTTCCGCTGCTCAAAGGAGAGATTCGCTTTACAGACATCTCCTTCAGGTACCACGTGAGGCCGAATGACCCGTGTCCCCCAGAGCGGGGCCCCTGTGTCCCTACGCAGAACACCTCACGCTATGTACAGGCCTCACAATGGGAGTGCATGCCGGTCTGTGTGACGGCCCAGAGAGGCAAAGGCGTGATCTGTGCTGGTACATGCATGCTTCCGAGACCCGTGTATATATACATTATGGAGGACACGTCTTCTGAGCTCGGTGTATATATACATCATGGAGGACACGTCTTCTGAGCTCGGTGTATATATAAATCATGGAGGACACGTCTTCTCCTGAGCTCGGTGTATATATACATCATGGAGGACACGTCTTCTCCTGAGCTCGGTGTATATATACATCATGGAGGACACGTCTCCTGAGCTCGGTGTATATATACATCATGGAGGACACGTCTCCTGAGCTCGGTGTATATATACATCATGGAGGACACGTCTCCTGAGCTCGGTGTATATATACATCATGGAGGACACGTCTCCTGAGCTCGGTGTATATATACATCATGGAGGACACGTCTCCTGAGCTCGGTGTATATATACATCATGGAGGACACGTCTCCTGAGCTCGGTGTATATATACATCATGGAGGACACGTCTCCTGAGCTCGGTGTATATATACATCATGGAGGACACGTCTCCTGAGCTCGGTGTATATATACATCATGGAGGACACGTCTCCTGAGCTCGGTGTATATATACATCATGGAGGAGACTTCTCCTGAGCTCGGTGTATATATACATCATGGAGGACACGTCTCCTGAGCTCGGTGTATATATACATCATGGAGGACACGTCTCCTGAGCTCGGTGTATATATACATCATGGAGGACACGTCTCCTGAGCTCGGTGTATATATACATCATGGAGGACACGTCTCCTGAGCTCGGTGTATATATACATCATGGAGGACACGTCTCCTGAGCTCGGTGTATATATACATCATGGAGGACACGTCTCCTGAGCTCGGTGTATATATACATCATGGAGGACACGTCTCCTGAGCTCGGTGTATATATACATCATGGAGGACACGTCTCCTGAGCTCGGTGTATATATACATCATGGAGGACACGTCTCCTGAGCTCGGTGTATATATACATCATGGAGGACACGTCTCCTGAGCTCGGTGTATATATACATCATGGAGGACACGTCTCCTGAGCTCGGTGTATATATACATCATGGAGGACACGTCTCCTGAGCTCGGTGTATATATACATCATGGAGGACACGTCTCCTGAGCTCGGTGTATATATACATCATGGAGGACACGTCTCCTGAGCTCGGTGTATATATACATCATGGAGGACACGTCTCCTGAGCTCGGTGTATATATACATCATGGAGGACACGTCTCCTGAGCTCGGTGTATATATACATCATGGAGGACACGTCTCCTGAGCTCGGTGTATATATACATCATGGAGGACACGTCTTCTCCTGAGCTCGGTGTATATATACATCATGGAGGACACGTCTCCTGAGCTCGGTGTATATATACATCATGGAGGACACGTCTCCTGAGCTCGGTGTATATATACATCATGGAGGACACGTCTCCTGAGCTCGGTGTATATATACATCATGGAGGACACGTCTCCTGAGCTCGGTGTATATATACATCATGGAGGACACGTCTTCTCCTGAGCTCGGTGTATATATACATCATGGAGGACACGTCTTCTTCTGAGCTCGGTGTATATATACATCATGGAGGACACGTCTTCTGAGCTCGGTGTATATATACATCATGGAGGACACGTCTTCTGAGCTCGGTGTATATATACATCATGGAGGACACATCTCCTGAGCTCGGTGTATATATTCATCATGGAGGACACGTCTTCTGAGCTCGGTGTATATATACATCATGGAGGACACGTCTCCTGAGCTCGGTGTATATATACATCATGGTGCACACGTCTCCTGAGCTCGGTGTATATATACATCATGGAGGACACGTCTTCTGAGCTCGGTGTATGTATATAAAATGGAGGACACGTCTCCTGAGCTCGGTGTATATATACATCA